GGTTTTCTCACTTTACGGAGTCAAGGAACAACATCCCGAATATTTTTGGAATTTCCATATATTCTCCATCAAAATATGCGTAGTTTGCCTTTTTAAACATTAAAATCGTCCAATCCGTTCGGGAGTTATCATGTTTTAAAGATATGCATGGAATTTTAGGGTGACATTTCTAGGTCTAAAATTATCTTTTCGGTGAGGAATTTTTTTCTTCGAAGTACGTAGGATTTTAGGGGTATGTCTATTGACAAAAAATAATCGTAATTGACCCCTGCAACTAAAAATAATTTTTTTAGAACGATTTGAAATGTTTTAATTTTGTCGAAAAAATCCATTTATTGAATTTTTTTCTCAAAAGTGGCTAGGATTTTGAGAATAGGTCTATTCACCAAAAATGATTGTGATAGAACCTCGCAACTGCAAATAATTTTTTCAGAATGATTTGAAACCTTTTTAATTTTGTCGAAAAATTTCACACCTCGAATTTTTTTCTAGAAAGTAGGTAAGATGTCGGGGGTATGTCTATTCACCAAAAAATGATTGTAATTGACCCCCGCAATCGAAAATAATATTTCCAGACCGATTTGAAATTTTTGAATTTAATTGTTAATAACTTTTTAACGAAGCCTCGTCGAGAAATTGTTATTCTTGATTTTCATTTTATTTTAGCCTCTAGAATCTCCCATTAAAATTTTTCCCATAGGTAGCCGTACACCCTGTATACTTGATTTTTATTTGTGTTAAAAGATTTGTATAGTTTTATTATGCACTGTATTTTATTTGATAGTTAAAAATTGTGTCTCTTTCAGTATATAAATAATTAAGTTGCTCGAAAATAAACCGTACGTGTTTTCCGCAACACTGACGGCCGCTGTCACGCTTACGTGACTTTGCTAGTCAGCCTTTACCGTCCACTGTCACGTGTACGTGACTTTTATAAGACTTTATTCGATGAACAAATAATTCTCTATTCTTGCACAGAACGTATATTCAGTAATCTCGTAGTAATCGGGAAAAAAAATTTACTATCAACCACGAACTATCGTTTCAAAATAACGTAACTTGTTGTTACAGACTAAATTGTAACTCGTCTAAAAGATATAATTCTATTGTATCGTCGAGCGTTAAAATAATGGGTATACTAAAAATGGATAGAAAGATTTTCGTGTGTAAATGGACCTTATGGCGCTAACCTGTTGCCCCGTTAAAGTACTCAGGCGATCCAAGTTCCTCGATAGTTTCTTCGAACGAACGTCGACCAAGATTCCTGGCCCGATGGCGGACTCACTGTTGCACGATGAAAGAGAAACACGGGACAAAAGGTTGAGAGTTTTGGTGTCGGTCGCCGATAAGATCCAAAGGTACGATGACAGTGGCGAGATTCGCGAGGGTTCAGCCCTTAAATACGCGCCGTTTACGACGACCATGCGCTCTCCGGTCGGGGTGTTGGGGCGAAATCACACGCACACATCACAACACCCTCTCGTGCAAAGGCGGTTGACGTACATTTTCAATTTTTCCCCGTGTCGCGTCCAATGAAAATTTCATACGGTCGCGAACCGTTGCAAGACGGGCGTCTTTTTACTTCGGGGTCGGCCAAGTTCGGCCATTTTTTCTTGCCTCATCGCCCGGAAACGAGATTTTTAAACGATGCAACCGATTGCACACACGCTCGAACGAGACAAGTTGCGGAGACCGGGGACACGATCGTTGTCAATTTTTTATCAACCGACACATCCGAGATTAGACACGTTTTTCGACCTTCCCACTTTGTTACTTTACACTGGAAGAAAGATAAATGGTAAAACATAGTAGATAGCATTTATTTTACAACCGACACACTAATTATTGTAAATCAACCCTGAGATTGAAGTAGGCTTTCTTATTGTCTTTTAAATTAAAAATACCTTTTTTTTTCAACAACTATTTATTAACAATATATGTACAGTTTACATCTATAGTCTTAAACCTAGGTCAACCTTATACAGTCTTTTCTCACATTTGGTGTTTGAAAGTCCCTGACTCTCTTTGTGGCTCTACCTTTCATTTTGATACAGTATAGACATAGTATCTATTTTTCTATTACAATTATCACAATGTGATGTCTAAAAATATATGGTTTCTATTAAAAGGGTATCTTTGTTTACAGAAAAATGTATTAAAAATCTGTTTTTGGAAAAGATACCGAATAATGAGTTAATTGGGCTAATTAATAAAGTAATTCTGGCAGATAATCGGTCGAGAAACGTATTTATAGATACGGAAAGGTCAGTTGAGCGCTTACGAGAGAGACAAGAGCGTAACCCCCTGGCGGCGAGTACTGGAGGTGACGCCACGATCAGAAAGAATAAGAAAAATTTGGGCATGACAGTTATGATTTCCAAAAGATTTTTAAATTATTGAGTTTATAAATAGATGTTAAGATTTCGGTGTTAGTTAATTTTACCTTTGAATGTTGAGCTTAAAAAGCGTTTCAGAAAATACCAGGTGGAAGAGCACTTCCAGAAAAGTTATGCTTACCAACCGCGAAACGGGGCTTGCAGTTAAGTAAAAAGGTTCGATGTTAAAAGGAGAACGAAATAGCATTTTTTGGGATCGTTCTCTGGGAACTTTTACGTTCTCGATGGATTTATCCATTGATAAAACGCGAATTTCAATTTCTCGCAAAAGTGCTGGGAAAATAACATAGTCGAATCTTATTGTTAGTGGACATTTCGGATATCCGTTACCAATCGTAGGAACAAACAAGAGGGATTCAGAGGATATTAAATATGGCCTGTGATCATTAATGACCAGAAATCGGGACGAAACGCAATAAAATGGTACGGCGAATCGAGCAAACACGGAAACCCTTACTTTCGGTCATAGAAATATTTGCAAACGAATAGATTGGACGAGCTTGCTCCGTCGAGCCGCGGATACAAATCGATGTAAAATAATTACTATTAAAAATCAATGATTATATCAGTCTAACCGGACTTTGAAATGAGAACATAAAACTTAAATGTAAAGTTTCATTTAAATTCATTTAGCTATTTATACTCAATCGTATTAATAATATACATATGTGTGCTCATACATGGGAATAAAAAAAAATTTCTTTTTTTTCAATAATTAAAATATGATCAGGTCTTAAAACGTGTATTTCCGTAAAATAAATTTTACAAAATTTTTTTTTCATTATGGGTACTTTGCTTATGTGCGCCTACATAGGTCGGAAAGTAAAAATGCCTGGGCAGTCGAGAATCCAAATCGTATGCCGTTGACTGGAGGTCGGATTTCAGTTGTTAAGAGCGAGAAGACAAATGTGAGCCTTTCTCTCTCGACTCCCACGAAGCGGTCCGAAATTACTTCGGGCAGCTTCGGAGAATCGAGAAAAAGGGCATGCGTCAGTTTGCCTTTGTCGTCTTTCCGAAACTCCACGAGCTCACGTACGCGTATCTAGCATGTGTGAGTGTGCACCCGACGGTGCTTTTCTGGCATCACTGATTATATGAAAGTCCATGAATGATTTCCATTCAATGCACATTCATCATCACATGATGAGAATCGGAAATTATCGAATAGTCAATAGAACCATTATACATGTTTATGTACAATTTTTCTACATAATACCGGTATTATGAATAAATTATATTCCCACAGGTATTTTTCCATTCCGATTTTTTACGATCTTTAGAAATAGCGAATAAAAGCAAATTGGCGAAAAAATCGGGATATAGAGAGGTTATGAGTTTTGTAACAGAAACTGCTGGGCCTAACACTAGATGTTATGTCCATACCTTTGACCATATTAGGCGCAGGGCCAATCAGAGCACTTGGGTGAAATGCAAGCCTCTGATTGGAGAGAAAGTACCGATTTTCTACATTACCGATACTCTGGTCGAACTTTCACGACAGCTATAGCGAAACGTTCATGGAAATCTGAAAATTAATAGAGGGGTATGTATTTCGTCATAAGAAGCTTTTCGTACGACCATAAACACTGTGTAAACAGAGTACCTTTTTATTCTGCACATCCTAATATCATCTTAATAACGTTTGATACAGAAAATATGTGCCAGGACAAATTTGTTCGGTGCAAAGCTGAGAATATTATCATTCGTGTTTTAAAAAATTTCTTTTACACCGACAGGAATAAATTTCTAGATAAACTTAGGAGTTAATTCAAGCGTAAAAGATGGATATAATATTCAAGAAAGGTTAATTTTAACCGCAAACTCCGCATCAGTTACCTCGAAAACCCTTTACCCGCCAAGTTCCAGAAAGATTCGATGAAAAATCTAGCTTTCGTTTTACTATGCTCAAGTCACCCTTCTGAACTATCATTTCTTTCTATTGTTATATCATCGGAAAACGAAAGGCGCGATAACGAAGGAAGAAAACAGCGAGGCGGTGACAATATTCCATTTTTAAATTAAATACGACGACCTGCGGATCAAGATTCGATCAGGAAGCAGATCCGTCACGTGACCGTCGTTTTTACATATCGACAAATTCGATGCAACGATTTCTCTGTATCGTTGGCTATATTTCCGATGGACGTTAGAACCACGGACCCTTAAACTTGATCGCGATTTCCACTCGGACGTATTTGTTATACGAGCGTCGTCCGACACACGGCGGCTTCGGAGAGTTTTCCAGTTTAATCGTAATGGATTACCCCCGTAATAGCGGCCAAAAAGTTTGGCGACAGGCCTCCTAAACGTTTTCGTACGAACTGTGCACCAAAAAAAAAAAAGTGAGACGAGAGTCCGTACGTCTTCAGGATCGATCGGTGAGCACGATAGCAGTGATCCAGTCTCGCGAAACAAAAACGTCGATCGGGCGATTCCTATAAAAAAAATAATTACTCGATCGAAAAATTTGAAATATTTTTCTTAACCAATTTGATTAAACTGCAACGGATAAATATGTTTTTGCAACTGAAACGAATCACGGTACGGGGAAAGTCAACATCGAAACTGTCGGGTGAACTCGAAACGAAAAGTACGGAGGGAAATTAGAGAAATAGACGGAAATTTTATAATCGATAGTTATTTTCGTGAAATTATTTATTTACGTGAGTTTCCACACGAATTGAAAACTAGTAGACACGAATACGTTACACCTTCCAACGGCATTGTTTTAATGATATTTTAATCAAGAGATGGTAATTATTTAAATTTCGATTCAATATATTGATCGAACCATCGCGTTATTAATATTGGGGTATTTCTTTCAGCTCGCTAATTCGAATCGTTTTCTTCTCTAAAAATTGGCGATCGATACTATACTAAAGTGGGGTTAATTTTATTTACCAGTCCTTCGTGCGTCTAAATTCGTTAGAACGATTGAAAAGTGGAACGTTCGATATACCACCTCATCGCGACGCCATTTTATTCGAGCTAAAACCGAATACCGAATAAAATAAAATCACTAGAACCGTGGTATGACCTATGATGGACGTTTTTCCAATCGAATGACGATAGTGAACGCGTTAAAAAAGTACATATACCAATACTCGTTTCTAGCGGGACATTCTTTATGGGAATTAATATGAACTTTGTTCGTCAGAAATCCGTTGTTTATTCGAACAGCTCGTCTCGTTCCAAGGGTAGCAACGACAAAGGACAAGCTTCACATTCGAAAGACGTAGGACCACACGCGGGGGAGACAGGTCCTTAGTTTTTGCTAAGGAATCGACAAAATTCCATCAAAATCAGTGGCGAAGGATTTCGCGATCGGACAAGGTATTGGCCTACTTTTTCTGGACGTTCGCTGTAAACATGTTTATCGAAGATTCTTAACGCTAAAACTTTTGCTTGGAATTATTTTATTCACCTTCCATATACGATTGGACTTTATCAAAAAAACTATAATTTTGTTATACTTTGTTTTCAGGTTTCGCTGAAAGAAAAGCGTACTTTGCAATTATAACGATTTTAATAAAAATTGCACTTAGTAAATTTTACGTTTCTTTAACTCGAGAATATTAATTCTGGTCGCAAGACCACGTTTTTTATCGATTTATAATACAATGTTACTTTTAATTATGGTATTTATTCGCATCGTTACATTAATTAAATTTAACATACGCTTTCACGTAGTACGATTTTTTACATAAATCGTAAATTTATGCTTCGTAAATAATCGGTCTTACGTGGATACAAATCTTCACGAGATTCCAAAAATGATTATTCAATTTTCGTTGCATATGTAATTATACGCTGCGCGCAGAATATTATATTTCTAATTATAAACTTTTGTTAGAATTTTAAACGTAAATCGCATTCTGGGATCTGTCTGCACAATGACTCTGTCAATTTTCGATGTTTTTGTCGCGAAGTATGGCGTACGTACAATGATGGGTACTATTAACATTCGGCTCCAATTAAAAGTTCAATTAAATAACATACCGTGAAATATAATCATTTAGTAGCTTCTTAGAAAACATTTACGTGTAGCTATATTCTGTGTTATCGATAAAACGTTTACTGTAAATATTATTCTGTATTTTATAAATGCGGGTGCAGATAATTTCGTTGATATTTTCAGAATTTGACACTTTCCTTATTTTAGCTGTTATCGAACAGATTTTGCCGACGTCTGAGGCGATGTCGATTTTGGATTTGATTCGCCAATCGTTTTATGATGTAAACTCGCGTAAAAATAAGATACAAACAAGAAATACGTATCAGAATTGGGCGTAGCCCAAACAGAGCGCACTTCGATAATTTTCTCGAATTATCCCCCACTATTGAATCTCTCGTTCCACTTTCCTCCACAATGCAAGATTCTAATAAATCCGCGTTTCGAAAAATCGTCCAGTTCGTTTCGTGACTTTACATTTCGTTTCTACGATCGTATTTTAGTTTTCAGGTTTCTCTAGTTTTTACCTTCAAAGGTATACCTTGTGCTTTTTGTAATTCATAAGTGATCATCGTACTCTCGAACATACTTAAATAATCGTTTCTCTATTAAATACTTTATTTGTGGCAGTGCGCATCGTTTAAATATTTTACAAATTGTTTGTTGCACACTCTGGCGAAAAGGAATAATTGTGATCGTGAAGTGTTTCTAAACAAAGGAAAAAAGGACAGAGCTAATTCTTCCAATTGCTATTTCGCTAATAGTGCAACCCTTTCTTTCTAAAAATTATACGACTTTTAAACTCTTAAAAGTTATCCTATTGTTGCTAGAAATTTCCAATTAAATTTTGAAAATTTTTTTTTTCTATAAAACTACTAATTATCATTGACGTGTTTTTGATTCCCCTGTAAGGTTTCAATTTCGCCCTCCCCCCCTCGTTTGATATTAATTTTATCATCCGACGGCTACACCTTCATCATTTCGTCGTCCCTAATATTTGCATTCGTATTCGGGTTCGTTTTCTTTAAATGAAATTGAATTCGCTCGACGCGTGGGCTGGGGGGCCATAATCGCCCTCGAGCCTACCCATTTTTCTAAATCTCAGCCGATCGTTTATTTATTCCACCTTTGATACGACCAAACGAAACACGTTTTATTTACAGAGTGTAAATCCTTCGTCGCGATACCGCGGACTGGAAGTGGCCTGGAAGGACCGTGAATGGACCCCCTTCTTCCTCGTGGACGTTGACGCGCGATTTGGCCCACCGCATCCTTTGACCACCGATTTTCAACCGCCGGGGGGATCCCGTAAATCCATCCGAACACCATGTTGCAATTAAACGGCGATATTTTCAACCCCCCGTCCCAGGACTCGGGAAAGACCACCTTCCAGACGCTCATCGCCGACTCGAATATCCGTCATCAAATTAACGATGGTTCCGGTGAGTATTCCGTGACGCGCTTTGCTGGCGTAGTGTATTGGGCAGTCGGTCGAAGAATTTTAATGGGAGATTCTAGACGCCAAAATAAGACGAAAATCAAGAATACCAATTTGTTGATGGAGGCTTCGTTAAAAAGTTATTAACGTTTAAAGTTCCGCCCGTACTGAATTTCTTTCTCGAAAATGCGCAAGATTTCGGTGGTATGTCTATTCACCAAAAATGACTGTAAATGACCCCCGCAACCAAAAATAATTTTTTCAAAACGATTTAAAATTTTTTTTTTCCGTTCTTTTTTCACACCTTCTCGAATTTTTTTCTGGAAAGTGGGTAGGATTTCGGGGGTAAGTCTATTCACAAAAAATGATTGTAATTGACCCCCGCAACAGAAAATAATTTTTCTAGAACGATTTGTAATTTTGTTTTTTCGCCAAAAAATTTAGGCACCTACCCCCTTGTCGATTTTTCTTAAAAATTTGTTTGACGCTGTACAGAAAAGTTGTTTAATACATTTTTGTAGGTGCCCATGAGCTCTACTTTAGAAAAAAGTTTCATTGAAATATATTTACTATTGCAGAAGTTATAGCTGTTTTGAAATTGGACCAGTTTTAGGGGGTTTTTCTCACTTTACAGTGTCAAGAAACAACTTTTTCAATATTGTTAGAATTTTCACATATTCTCCACTAAAATACGCATTGTTTGCATGTTGGAAAATTCAAATCCTTCAATCCGTTCAGAAGTTATGACATTTTAAAGATACGCATTTTCAGGGTAGCATTTCCGGCCTCACATTAGATTTACAGTGAGGAATTTTTTTCTTCGAACTGCGTAGGATTTTAGGGGCATGTGTATTGACAAAAAATAATTGTAATTGACCCCCGCAACTAAAAATAATTTTTTTAGAACGATTTGAAATGTTTTAATTTTGTCGAAAAAATCCAATTATTGAATTTTTTTCTCAAAAGTGGCTAGGATTTTGAGAATAGGTCTATTCATAAAAAATGATTGTAATTGAGCCCTCCAACCAAAAATAATTTTTTTAGAACGATTTGAAATGTTTTAATTTTGTCGAGAAAATCCAATTATTGAATTTTTTTCTCAAAAGTGGGTAGGATTTCGAGGATAGGTCTATTCACCAAAAATGATTGTAATTGAGCCCTCCAATCAAAAATAATTTTTCCAGAACGATTTAAAATTTTTGAATTTAATTGTTAATAACTTTTTAACGAAGCCTCTATCAACAAATTACTATTCTTGATTTTCGTCTTATTTTGGCCTCTAGAATCTCTCATTAAAATTTTTCCCAGGGTTGTCCGAACACCCTGTATGTAGGAACGAAGAACTCGATCGAACACTTGCGAGAAACTCAATAGAATAGCTCTCTGACGCCACAATTTCTTCTTCCCCTCCTCTGCAGTCTTTGGGAATCACTAAGTGCCTCGACTATTAACAGTATGACGAACCCTGGTTTCAAACATTAAAAAAAAAACAATTTACAAAATTAATACGAAATGGCGGGTAGAAATAAAACGATCAATGTTTTTTTTGTTATAAAAAGAATTTCTATGTTTCTACGTTTCGCTGTTTATTTTCGAGCAGCAGACGGTGTTTGCGACACGCCTTACCGATAATTTGGTTCTCGATCGCCGTCGAAATTTCGTTCGTTAACTCAACGCGGATAATGTTCGTTATCGAATTGTCTAACGCACCTGCTGTTTTCCAGATGCTCGTGCTAAATGTTGACGCGCTATCGAACGGTTTATACGACGACACAGCATCGTAAACAGAATCGCCTTTTGTAACGGAAAACCGATTTCGCAATCCATCGACGACCTCGCGATTTTTTTTTATGTCAACAAAGAAGATAAACAAAGAAGTCTTTTTGGTAAATAACGATATCAACGCTTACCGAAAGATACATAATTCCGGTAGCATATTTAATTTAACAGAAAAGAAAACTCGATAATTTACATCGACCCAATACATAGAGATAAAAAGAATTATTTTAATAAACTATGTTTTATCGATATTAAATATTCTACGCAGTGGAAAAATAAACATCGTTCAAGTTTTGCTTTTGACGTCAAGCGGGATGCGTACACGCAGAAAGAGTCATATTTTTAAATAGAGTATAATGAATGAAAGTGTATTGCGTCACCGCGTGCCGTTGACATTCATTCCTTTCCCAGTAAACAATATTCATGTAGTTCCTAGGCCAATTTACATACACCAAGAAATTAATAGCTAACAATAATACGCACACTGATCGTTAAAAGTACTCATTAACGCTATTTCTTCCAAAGATATCGAAAGACGAAAATATTTAATTTACAATTATTCCGTTAGTTTTTATACGATAAGGAATTTACAAGTATAAAATTGCAATTGTCACTTTGTGACTCCAAAATCGATTTCCACGCGAATAAATTCTCTTCATTGTTAGTTGGATGTATCTATCTATTGCTCACCGATTCTATTTATACGAGTCGCAATGAATATACTGGACTATATATGAATAAACTGGACTATTCACAAAAGACACCTTGTATAGTAGAAAAAATGATAAACGCGTCTTCTCGCATAACTTGAAAATTCAAACGTTTGCCTTAGGTCATCGTGTCGCCATTATCTAAGCTATCATTTCACCGAATCCGTAACTATTCTAATATTTCTGATTATTCTAACAATATTTACAATTGTCTTCAAACGATCTATAGGACTATCGTTTCCCAACATTGTTTAGTCATTCAATTTTTCAGGCGTCCGCCTTCTGTTTTATTCATGTAAAATTGTCTTGAATTACAATTTCTAATTCTTAACAGGAACAATAATAGTATGTATACTTTGTTATTCTAGATCGTTATAATGTTTACAGCAAGAGGGTTACTGCTCGTTCCAATAAATAAATAAATAAATACATAAATGATCCAGGGCCGACCGCTCCTGTCGTGAACTGTAGTGGAAGGTAATAGGAACTGACGACGAGGCACCATTTTTTACTACTGCTGTTTAACGTTAAAATTACTCTGGATTACTATTGCGATCGAATCTCCGAAAATATAGCAAGAAAAACAAAGTTCAACGGGCCTCTTTACAAAAGTAGCGTTACCTGTTCATTTTTACAGCACTCTAAACATCAATGTTCATACTATGTCCAATACGTTTCTATTATACAATATATTAAATAAAATACATAATACTGTATCTGAGAGGCAAAGTCCACTTTAATAACAAAGAAAAGTGACTGGTAACTTGTTGCACATGAGAATTTCTTCGCTAATCAGAAATGTATTCTGCTGATCCTCCAATTTCCGATAGTAAAATCAATCAATTTTATACAAAGAAAATCTTTTTGCCTCTCTGACAAATTACGATAATTTGGGTAACTCCGAGGTACGGAATAACGTCGATCAATTTCGATAGTTACCGTATACATAGATCTGTTCGTGTTTAAACGTAATGCCTATCGCTGTACATCGAATCGATTCGAGAACAGTGAAAAGCGTGAAATAGACGATCGTGTCACGGCCTATTGTTGTCTCCGGGCAGGGCTTATGCGGAACGAAAGTAAAATTCCGATTCACCTTTGCCGGCGTCGAAGGTATCGAGGCTGTTTGGCTGTACACGGACGCGCGAGGGATGTGTTAAAGGGGCGCGGGCAGCATAGGAAATTGCTATGAACTCGGTGGTACCGGCCGGCTCGGAATGAATTATTCATAGGCCGAGGTAAAAGAAGAGAAAAAAAAAAAAGTATCGTTAAGACGGCGTTCCCAACGCGGGACCTTTAAATATTCATGGAACGCGACCACATGACGCGGATTACAGAAGTCAACGTTATCTTAAACCACAGGTTGAGATCTTTATTCCGACAAACATTCCGGAAGAGGAAACGTTCAGCGACTCATCGTTCGCGTTGTGTGACGATCTTTATGCCATTCAATGCTAATACCGTCACCAATAGTAATTATTGGCTTTCCTAGACTACTTGTAAGATACTGTTTCCCTGTATTCTTCGTACAAGCTACTTAATAAATTTAAATTATTTCTTCTCTTTGGAGTGTCAGAGGGTTGGGAATTTCTTCTTTGATTATTGTGATCCTCGAGCTTATACTTTGAGTCTACTGTACAGTACTGGAGAATTAACGTTCTTAGTTTTTTCTTGCAATGGTATTCTTAAAAATTGACACGTTCGAGTCCCCTTGAGTGTCACAGGATTGGGAATTTCTTCTTTGATTGTTGTGATCCTCGAGCTTATACTTTGAGTCTACTGTACAGTACTGGAGAATTAACGTTCTTAGTTTTTGCTTGCAATAATATTCTTGAAAATTGACTCGTTCGAATCCCCTTGAGTGTCACAGGATTGGGAATTTCTTCTTTGATTGTTGTGATCCTCGAGCTTATACTTTGAGTCTACTATACAGTACTGGGGAAATAACATTCTTAGTTTTTGCTTGCAATAATATTCTTGAAAATTGACTCGTTCCAGTCCTCTTCGTCGATGATACTGGGAATGTTGAGAGGGCTGATAAATCTAGGTGTTTACCCCTTGGCGTGGAGCAGCCATGGGGTGTAGATTTAATGTTCCCGATCTTCCGGATCACGGTGATGTAGGCGAGGCGTCCAAATTACACTGAAATGCCTCAAATCAACATTAAATTCTTTCTGATGAGTGTTTACAATCTTAATCGTGTGAAAATAATTAAATAATTAATTAAAGGTATTTACAGCGGTACGTTTGTCACGATTATAGATATAGTATTTTTCACCTTGTTTGTAAGTAAATGTACATACCATAACATATTTTTTAAACGAGTAAGATCGATCAATGAAATAAGAAAGAAATCGACACGTGTCATAGGTATTTGCCACGTCACGCCGCGATGAGTTCAAGAAACTCTTGTCTCGCGTAAGTACTTTGGTCTCGACCAAAGAATTTCTCAATGACATCGTAATGACTGCGAAGCGTAGGAAAATCGAGAACGAATTAATTATTTAGGCTACCAACAGGGAAAGAGTTTTGATAATCTAAGGAACAAAAATAGATTCCAACGAATAATAAAACTGTTATTTCGCTTTGGTAATTATAGCAGGAGAAAACAAATCATTTGAAAGCTTTTACGGAACTATGTTATGCTAGACAAAACACTTTTAGCGATCCACTAACGACAGAACAAATTAAGCTGACCGAGTTACGTGATTCGCCCTGTATGTCTCTGTTGCTCGAAATAGCTGTGCATTCGTTTAAGTCCGCCACGGATTATAATGGAAATGGGATTTAAATAATTTGATTCGGATCAACAGCCGCAATAAATTAACTAAAGAGCCGCATGTGGTTAGGAGCCACAGGTTGCCGACCCCTGGTCTATGGGAATGGAGCGTCCGTTTCGTTCGAGAAAGAATTCTATCGATTATCGCGCGTACCAACACCTGTTGCTATCTATCCCCAGTACCGGGTATCCAATTTTTATACAAACAAGTGGTTCAGAGATTATTACAATCAGGAAAGCTAGGTGTTCCCTGTGAATTCCTTGACACAACCCAAAGCGTAGCCTTGACACGATGAAGTTACCAAACTTTATTACAGTCCATTTTACGATTTAATTTATGAGTAGCCATTTGAAATTTCGCGACCCTTTTTTCTTCTTCTAGATTACATCGTCAACCCCCATTACGTCCGTTGCCCTGCCTACGAAGAGGCTTACAAGAACTCCCTAGAGAATCCGGAGAAGTTTTGGGGCGAAGTGGCGCAGTGCATCGAATGGAGCAAACCTTGGACCAAGGTCTTTAATAATTCCAGACCACCATTTACCAAATGGTAGGGGCGTCCAGTTGGTGTTTACAGACAATATACATAATACTTTTATTTCAACCATCCTCGATCTCTAAAATTTTTATGATATCTCCTGCCTCCGAAACGAAACGTTAAAACACGATCTTTTGTGTCTTAATCCGGTGTAATGAATTCCGCAGGTTCGTCGACGGGGAACTGAACGCTTGCTACAACGCGGTGGACCGGCACGTGAACGCCGGAAACGGGAACAAAACGGCTCTGATCCACGACAGCCCTCAAATCTCGACGATCAGAAGAGTAACTTACAACGAACTATTGGAGAAGACGTCCCTGATGGCTGGCGCCCTGTACGACATGGGCGTACGCAAAGGCGACATAGTGATCATCTACATGCCGTTGATCCCTGAAACCATAATAGCCATTTTAGCGACGACACGTCTTGGCGCCATTCACTCGATAGTATTTGGCGGTAGGAATCTAACGATAAAACTTAACTTGTGGGGGATCTGTAAAGAAAGATGGACTCATTAGTAACGAGCATCCTGCAGACCCTGCCTTAGACGCAGGGATACTGGGTAGTCGGTCGAGGAGCGTATACACGGTACAGTGAAAACTCGATAGATGTCACTATTCTGGGTCCGGTCAGGAACACTTATAAAATAGGAGAATGGTTTTTCGAATTTTATTGTAGTTTGTAGATTTATCGCCCCGGTTTAAATATCCGTGTCAATGTGGCTACACTACTACATAGAAGAAAGTTTTTTATCGTTTACTATTTGTTAATAAAAATGTCACTATCGTGTGAGGGAGATTTTTCTGATTAAAATGAGACTAAACATGATATAAATGGGTCGATATTTGGTAGCATAATATTGAATTAAATATTGTACTCGAGAGTCTTTCTCTCTTTGTTTATCCTTCTTGTGCTGTCCTTTTCTATCTTCAGAAACATTTATCGAATAGGAGGTAGCTATTTTCAAACAGAATGCTTTCGCTGTCCATAAATTATTATAACATATTATTTTTTATTCAATCTTATAACCTAATAAACATAAACCCATTTATGTCGTGTTTAGTTTTATTTTAATCAGAGAAATCTCCCCCACGTGGTAGTAAAATTTCTATTAACAAAAAGTAAAAAATAAAAAAACTTTCTTCTGTACAGTGCATTTAAACGAAGGTGACGAAGGCAATAAAGATTTTTAAAGAAAGAAATTTAAAATTTTATCCCCCCAGTGGTGGGGATAAAAATGTATCATTTACGGAACAGCTCTTGGGGATATTTATCGAGTTTTCACTGTATGTCGGAAAAATAACGGAACTTTTTAAATTAGAAGAAGAAAATTAGTCGTTTTGCCAAAATTATTTTTTAATCATTTATACCATTCGAACACACGTGCACGGGATAAACAATCATCGCCATAAACTTTTTTCATCGATTCAAATGTTTCTGTAAAAGTTTCCCCGAGCTTGAAACAAAATTTAATATTTGCTCTTTGTTCCATTGTGTTTCTGCGACGAAGTGAGAAAAGGTACTGCCACTTTAACCGTTATAACTTGACAACCCGTTAGTCGATTGTTAGACATATTGTTTCGATAGATGGCATTGGCAGTTTTCATTAAATTAAAAAAATTCCGTTATTTTTCTGACATACTGTGTACGTAGAAACGGAAGGTCGGTCGATCACTTGCGAGAGAGACAAGAGCGTAGCCCTCTGGCGGCGAGTACGAGAAGCGATGACCCCCACGAGTTGATATTAAAAAATCAACAAAGCTCTTAAAGGGGAAGGGGGAGGCCTTTTCTACTTGGGGATCAATTATACTTGAACAAGAAAACGTTTCCCTGGCTATAAACGACCCCTCTGTTTGAGTAGCAAAGAATGATTATTAAGTAAACTCACGTTCGACGGGCGATCAAATATCAGGGCGTAGATTAATGATCCCGATCGAGCAATATTTACTGCCGTTTAATCAAAAACTATGCAAAGTTTTCTTTTTCCAGGATTCGCCGCGAACGAATTAGCCACCAGGATAAACCACGCGAAACCGAAGGTGATTATCGCGGCTAGCTGCGGCCTGGAACCGTCCAAGATCATTCGGTAAGCTTTTACCTAGTTCCTCTGCGACTGTAACGACATTTCTACGGACATCTGTAACTACATACGCACTGTAATTCTGAACGCAGGTATACCGAGATGCTCAACAGCGCCCTGAACATCATTTCTGTAAAAAAACCACGGTGCATCATATTTCAGAGAAGGAATATATGGCAGAGTCCTCTCCTAGAGGGTCAATTCGACTGGGACGACACGATGAAGAGGTCGAAACCCCATCCTTGCCAACCGGTCGATGCAAACGATCCCTTGTATATTTTGTACACGTCGGGAACGACAGGTAATCCTATTCTATTTATAGTTTAACGGGAACATCGTCCAAGGAAACTTCCGTGTAGAACACTATATTGGCAAAGGGACATTAATCATTAATACATCGAAACAATCCCTTACATATGAATTGAATGAACAATAATATTTACAACCTTCGAGGGTTCAGTAATTCTACACTTTCCATAATCTTCTCTGGCCAAAATGAAACCATCGATCGGTTCAGCTAAACTTTTAAACCGAAGGTCAGCCGAAAGGGATCGTTCGAACGATCGGTGGACACCTGGTAACCCTTTGCTGGTCGATGAAAGCTGTTTATGGCATGGACAAGGATTCCGTTTGGTGGGTGGCATCCGACATGGGGTGGGTCGTCGGCCATTCTTACATTTGTTACGGACCTCTCCTCTACGGAGCGACCAGCGTGTTGTACGAGGGAAAGCCCGATAGAACACCGGACGCGGCACAATACTTCAGGTTCAATTCTCTCTGAAACTGGCATAAGACGGCAGACGAGCAAACTGTAATCCGATTACACATGCGTACGATGAAATTACATATAAATCTTCACGGTGCATAAAAACAATCTAATTGTCTGCGTAATTACATGTATAGTCCTTCCGCGAGATGGCGCAGCGTGTTTACATCCCCACTCTTGCCGCAGCCCGCCGATTGGCTGTCACCGATCTTCCTTCTTCTCGTGGAAGAATGGTAATTTTATCGCAGCGAATGTAATCGGATTACATTGTGCCCAACTCCGCCTTCGTATTATTAACAAACTTATTTTCTTTAATTACATGGAAACGATGCTTGGATTAATCGGTATCCCATTTTTCGTAGAGTAATAGAACAACACAGCGTGAATGCATTGTTTTGCGTGCCCACTGCGCTTCGAGTCATAAAACGCGCCGATGTTGACCTCACGTTAGGTCGGAAATATTCAACGAAATCGTAAGTTTTTTACCACAGTCAATCATGTCGTATCGTGGTTAGCCATTTGCAATGTATTATCCTTGTTTTCAAGTGAAATTATCTTGCTACTTAAATTAATCCTTATTAGCTTCGGCTCGAGATCAATATCGCTACGTTTCCCGTTTTAAAGAGAATTATTTTACCTAGGTTCACCTCGTTCACCGTAGAATTACCATTTACTAATATATTTATATATAATATCTCTCCTAATAATTATTCCCCACACACACACACACTTTCCGCCTATGATATCTTTATTAAAGCGCCCGACTTTTTGCAAAGGTTAAAAACTGTATTCGTGGCCGGCGAGTTCTGCGACTACGAGACAAAAGTCTGGGCGGAAAAAGCGTTCAAAGTACCGGTTTTAAACAATTGGTGGCAGACGGAAACCGGCCATCCTATTACGGCATTATGTTTAGGATACGGCCATAATACTAGTTTGCCAAAAAACAGCACCGGTGTTCCGATTCCTGGTTATCACAGTAAGTCCTGCGCGATTTACGGTAGAGGTTAGAGGTCAGAGAATAAATACTCGAGAATAACCGATCCGGACCGAATAAAACTCGAGAATAACCGAACCGGGCCGAATAATGCTCGAGAATAACCGAACCGAGCCGAGTAATATTCGATGGGTCGTAATATTTTAGACTTTTATGTAATTAAGTAAAGATAAAGAAATAAGTGGAAAAAAGTACCGTTTCATTGTTTACTGTATTCGGTAACCCAGAAATCAGTTTGAATTAATTCTCGAGTACGTTGCGATCTGTTGACCTGTTTAGCTTTCACCGACTATACTTTTCATTATTAATTCCAATGAACGGTGGATATGGCAAGATCAATGAATGAGCGACACAACCATGACCGTTCTCGCCGATCCAACTTTCACAACGCATTAGGTGCAAATTAATTCGGTGCTTTCCTTTATGAAATTCAAAGTTTATCTATACACAACCTTACGCGTACGAGTTTGATCTTTCAAATGATTTCCGTTATTTTCTATAACCTTGCTCCATCTATCGGGTATTTGATGAATGTAGTTATAGAAAAAATGGCGGTTTCGACCGAAAAATCCTAATCAAAGAAATTGTAAATAATAATTTGTATTTCGTAAGGTTAAACTGTCTGCTACTTCTTCATATATAAAGTACGATTGCATCAAAACAAAACAACGAGCACCAAATGTAATCTTTTATAGTTTTTATTTCAATTCAGAATTACCGGAAAACCCGTTACCGACCAAGTTTTTTTTCATTCGAATCGAATTTTTCGTTACGAAACGTTAAACGTAAAGGCACCGGATTAATACGCACGTTTAATACAGCAATGCGATGAAGGAAGTTAGGTGTAATGGAAGGTCTTCTTTCCAGTCGATATTTTACAAGACGACGGTAGCAAGACCGACAACCTCGACCTAGGCAGAATCGTTATAAAGTTACCATTGCCGCCTGGTTGCGTGTCGACTCTGTATCGAGCCGATGATAAATTCGAGGAGATCTACTTCTCGAATCATCCAGTAAGTTGGGTTTCCGAAGCGCTGGAAACGGTATCAAATATCCTTTGATATCGAAAATATGGATCGTCGATTATCGAAATGATCGAAATGGTCCGTGTCGAACGATACCAAAAACCCTTTGATATCAAAGAACATTATCCACTATTGCGATTAATTTAATTCGCTGATAAAACGCTTCAGGGTTATTACGATACCATGGACGTTGGTTACAAAGACGAGTACGGATACGTTTACGTGATGGCACGCGACGACGACGTAATCAACGTCGCCGGTCACAGACTGTCCACGATGGCCTTGGAAGATGTCATTATGGCGCATCCCGACGTCGTAGATGTCGCTGTCATCGGTGTGCCCGACACAACCAAGGGAGAAGTTCCTTTGTGTCTTTACGTAATTGGATCAGGTAAACCCTTCGGTGCAGACACTTGATATTTTTCGTGCACATTTTCTTCCGCCGAAGCAGACTTTTCTACGGCTGAAAACGTAATAAACGTACAATCTGCTCGCAATCAAACAACGTAAACACGATACACTATCTTTATTAAAATATAAGTTCGAATAATTCCATATTCGAACGTCCAAATACAGAAATATCCTCAATATTTAGTTTATCGTAGGTTTTAACTTCTTATTTGCTATTTATATCGATCGTAAGTTTCAATATTCGACTACCGGAATATACTCTTCGGATTCCACTTTTATCCAGGGACAATCTTTCCTTCTCGCAATAACTGTACCGGTATTATCTTCGTACCCTCAATGAAACTAGCTGTGATACTGCAATGGAAAAAAAGAGCAAAAAAATCTTTGTCGAAACAAACAATGATATTTAATAGATTACGTATATAGTTACATGTATTTCTGCGCGTAGAGGCGACAAAGAACGAAGAACAGATCAACGAGGAACTGGTGTCGCGCGTGAGAGCTTTAATTGGACCCATAGCATCGTTTAGCACGGCAGCCGCTGTAAGGGCATTGCCACGAACACGTTCGGGGAAGATAATCCGCAAATCTATCGCCACATTGGCTCGTTCGAAACTCGTTAAGGTGAATCTACATGAAATCTGCATTAAATAATGTATGAAAAATATCTGCGGAACGCGCGCGCGCTGGATGAAACGTAACGAGAAATTAAATCTCCATTTCCTTCGCGAGACAAAGATAATATTTATTCGCCGTTCGCCAGCAGCGTAAAATATACCGTTCTCTCTTCTTTTTCTTTTTCCAGATTTCAAGTACGATAGAGGACGCGACGGTGTATCGCGAGATAAAAGAAGTACTTCAGAAGCTCGGTTACGCTAGATTAGCGCCGGATCCTCAATGATAAGTGCAGTTAAGCTTTTGCCATTTTTATTATAAACTTTTAATAATCGTATATAAAATGTAATACACCTACGTACGATATATGTATAGCTGACACGCATAGGAGTGTACTTGAGAAAGACGCGTCGAAAATTCGAGTTTAATAGTTATCTTTATAAATTGCACCGCAACTATATGTATATGTATAACGATTTTCCCATAGTACAATAAAGAGAACTTTTAAATGAATTTACGTCATCGTGTTCACGGAACGAAGTCGAAATCTGAGCAACTTAATTATAGTTTTTCAACTCACTGTCAGTGTTAGGCCCCTGTTCCAGTTATATTTCCGTTCTAAGCGGCAAAGATAACGTGTTTTTAAATCATTGAATAAAAGAAAAAGAAAATGATACAATAAGCGCATTGTATATTACACCGATACTTCTGTTCTGTGTAAAGTAAGAAAAAGGGAAATAAAAGTAGAACGTATCAACATTCTGTTTTAATGTTCCAATTGTAATATTATATTAACAATTTAAAAAATATAACAACCCATAAAACGAATGTTGTTGAACGATTTATAGAAATAAAACTGACTCTTCTTGAATGCGTTGTTAGTACGATTGATCTTTTACAAAAAAGGTGAAAAAAAAAAATCGTTAGAATATGATAAATGGTTCAATGTACGGTCAAGAGAAAGAAAACGAGGACGAGTGTCGCGGATGCGTTCCATACATCTGTAGAAAGAAACCAATAGCAAAGACAAAAAACCAGAAATAACGTGTAAAGAAAGCACTCACAAAATGTCTGCTTTAAAAATTTTCTATATTAACTTCCTTTCGGTTAAATCTCGACATTTTTCTTTATCGCATTATAACGCTATAAATCATCGAAACTCTTCTGGAGAAGCACAGTGTAAGAACATCTGGTGTTATAGACACGTAGTACATCGATACAATACACGAACCTTGGCGCCATCAAACACGAATCGTATTAACAGAAACGGTACGTGCAAGAAAAAGCAAATCAACCAACCATACACACGAAACCTCTTTTATCAAAATTAGAAAAGCACAATTTTGTTGCAAATTTGTTTTTAATGACAATGTAATAAGAAACAGTATAATAATAATAATAGTAATAATAATAATATTAATTTTTATATTTATAAATTGTTGTGTAACACTATCTGACTGATTTATTCAATAAATTTTCTGCTTTCTTTTTCATTCTCATTTCTTACAACCAATTTAATAATAATTATTCAATAATCATTATAATAATATTAATATTTTCCTTAGTTTTTATCTCGGTAATCGGTATCCTCTTCCTTACGCTCATTAATGTCTCGCACCTCAGAAGAATAAAAATATCGTGTTTTTTAAATATTAAGGAGACACCGTTCATCATTTGATCATTATTCATTTGTAATTAACTCCGCTGCGAGTGCTGTCGTTCGGCTTACCTAATAGAAGGAACACGCGCTCTCGAGTTTTATTTCTTTTTTTTTTTTTTTAGTTGCTTGTCTCCTTTAAATCTATATAATCAAATCTATTTGCTTTTTTCTTTATTTCAGGTTATAAATACCCTCCCTCCCCAGTTACCCCAAACCCCAACCCAACTGTCTGTGCATACGATGTATGTGCTTTTCTTTGATGTAGAACATTTTTTTTTTTTTTGCTTCTTGTGTAGATGAGTGTATGTTACAATTAACAGTAGTTTGCGAATAGTTCGTCTTGCCGCCGGTTCCGTTTACTCTTTTTTTTTTTTTTTTTTTTCTCTCGTGCGTACTGTGTTCGGCTTGCGTCTCTTGCGTATTATTCGTCGTTCTCGAAATTGATTAGTAATCCCAATCTGTGGTCACAGTTGAGCAACTTTACTCCACCACTTTCAGCACCTTACCAATTGCGATAGTCTTATCTGAAAATTTCAGGATAGAACCAGTTAGTTCGATTATTACATACGCCTATATTTAGATATCGCAAGTACAACGCTTCGCGTTTTCAAGTATCGCTGGTAAAGCCAGAATTCGCGAGCATACGCGAACTTATAACGCGAAGAAAATCTTAAACAGAAATTGTGTGTGTATATTTACTTTCATCCCTGAGGGTGAAGCGTCCCATTTGTGGAAACAGTTTAAATCTTTCAAGGCATATGACACCCGCGCATTCGATTCTCATTATTGCCACTTGATCTTGCTTGACAAACCTTGGCCTGGTTTTACTCTTGTCACCCGTCTTTTTGTCGACCAAACAAATCAATGCCTTCACTCTAACTTCCTCGGCGGCACAATGAATGTGCATTACAGCACTGTACCCGGCACAAATAATGCTCTTATGCTCCAAAATAACAACTTGCGCGTCGAATACTTTTCCCGTTTTAATCGGATTATTACTGTCGCATAAAACGAATCCGGGACTCACGTCCTCCTCCTCGATGCCTTTTAACTTAATCTTTACGTTCTCTCCTGGACCGACCGATGTTACTTCCTCGTCGTCCGACCATAACTGATCCACGGTCACCGCCGTCTAACGGAGCAAAAACGGGGCATATGAAACATGAATAATTATTACAATAGTTAAAGAAAAGTCTATATCGAAGCCTTACCCTGTTCGGCATAACGAGCAACGACTGTCCCTTTTTTGCTTCTCCTGCTTCGACTTTCCCCATTACCACTGTTCCCATATCCTTATATTTATCAACAATTGGCATGATAAAAGGTCCGTTATTCTTACGATTAAGCGAGGGTAAAGAATCAATGAAAGATATGAACGGTGGACCGGTGTACCATGTACAAAGATGCTCTGGTATTGGATCTTTCAAACCAATGCCAAGTTGACCCGAGACTGGCATGAACGTAAGGTCTTTCGCGGGATTGAATCCTAGTTTGCGAAGGTACGGCAATATTTTGTCCCTGAATAACAGAACGATAATCGTTATGCTCGTTCAACGTCGTCGAGAACGTTACTGTATGTTTGGAACGATTGTTCAATTTGTATGCAAATGTCTTGTATGACGTACCTGCACTCGTTGTACCTTCCTTCGTCCCACTCCACGGTTGGATCATCCATTTTATTTACTAGCACAACCAGATGTTTAACGCCGGCAGTCTTGGCCAGCATAGCGTGTTCTCTTGTTTGACCGCCTCTGTCGAAGCCTGTTTCAAACTCTCCTTTTCGCGCGGAAATGACTAAAACCGCGAGATCGGCTTGAGCCGCTCCGCCGATCATATTGGGTACAAAACTTTTATGACCGGGCGCGTCTAAAATAGTGAAATGCTTTCGTTCTGTTTCAAAATACGCTCTACCGACTTCCACCGTCTTTCCTTTCTCTCGTTCCTCTTGGTTTGTGTCTAGGGCCCAACTCAGATACCACGTTTCTCTACTTCTTTCCTTCGCTTCCCTTTCATATTTTTCTAAGGTTCTTTTATCAACCATCCCCGTCAATGCCATAATTTGACCACCGATCGTTGATTTCCCTGCATCTGTAATATACGTTGCATCATTCCTCGCGTACCTTTTACAACGCGTAACGATGAAATCAGTACAACTTCAACGCCATGCTTGTTAATTGTTTCATTTCTAAGTTACTTATAATTGAAATAATTGCTTACCAACGTGTCCTATAAAAACAACATTAACATGCTCCTTTTTACTCTTAGTGTCTTCCGTTACTTTAACGGACTTTTTTTTAGGTACTTTAACAACCATTTCCTCGTCTTCCTCATTGTCAATCTACAAATAAATAAACAACACTGTTAGATGTTAAATCGCTTATTCAAAATTGGTCCTTAAACTTTCATTTCTAAATTTCAATGATACTTGATAGAAATATTTAAAGATGAAGTCTACTTATTAAAGTTTGCACATACTTCTTCGTTCTCTGAAGGTATGAGAGGATCTCCATCCACCGCCGCTTCTTCCCAGGAATCAGCTGGTTGATGTTCGGGGCTAGTATTTATTTGATCGGTGACGTTTGGAGGTGGAGCCCCTCCTCCAGCAGGTGGTTCCTCCACACGACTGCCCACTGGATCTGGTAGGACCGCTGGAGTGGTATTGCCTACAATGAATACAATTGATATAATATAGAAATTAAATTGTATAAAACAATTTATTTTCAGAATATATTCGAGGTATGTCTCCAAACTGTCTTGCATCATCTCACCTAATCAACTTTCTACTTTCATTATTATTTATACACAACTTCTCCTAATACAGTAAGATATTTTATACTGGAAGATAAGAATACTACGAATAAAAAAAAAAAATGTGTTGCTCCAGTTTGATGTTACTAAACATGTACAGAGTAAATTCTTAATTATTCCTTAATGCGTTGACTGATAATATTTCATTGAAATGTTTACTCGTGTGCTTTTAAATACTGTTAATGTAATTGAGAATGCTATAAAATAACAAAGAGATCATTCAACTATTTGATGCTTCTAATCCACTCTATAAATGGAATAAGTAAGTAGGACATTCTTAGATACGAAAAACTGATACGGGAAGTTAACTTTGTTATCGATACAGTTTCCGTATTAACGAGGTTAAAATTATCTTATGTTATTAATTTAATGACTATGTATGCAATGCGCAACATCGAGTCAATATAAAATATACGCATATTACATTGAAATGCTCTTTTTAGTTTTATTTCCCACCAAAGAAACAACTACCAACGTCGATTCGTAACAAGTACACGAACAAACCGCTAAGTATTCTGATAATTTCTTTGCACCCAGCTTCTTATCGCCAGCTATCTCAGAGACAAAAATCTATGTGAAAAGCATGCGACAAGGGTTAGTCAGAGCAGTTGTTACAGAGTATTGGCAGCGAAAAGAACATCCATGTTACGTTTTTCGTATTGAAAGAACGTAAACTTGTTTGGACAAAGCCGCTGGTAGCACGTTTTTAATTCTGTTTCATGACTAACCATGATGTATTTCAGGGGGCATAGAGGTGGTTACAGTATTCGTCATGACAGCGACATTGCAGGAACTGTCGGCCGCGTTTCTGTTCTGCGGTGAAGAATGAATGCAGAATGAAGGCACGAATTCCGCAGCGTTCACGTTCAAAGTCGAGAATTTGCTCTCGATGGACTTATCCTGCGACGGAGCGATGTCTCCGTTGTCCGCCTGCTGTTCCCACGAATCTGGTGCTACACTGTTCGCCATATTTAACAGAGTTCAGTAGTCGAGCCGGCCTCGTATATTAATCAAACACGGAAATCACGCTACGCTACGTGCAGGATTTCAATTATAACCGCGATTACAATTGGGACGGGGCTTAAAAAAATAATTATTTACGATATCCGCGCACACCGTAACACGCGTATCGGTACCCCGCGTGCGACCCCCGTGGTCTGTTTCGTTGCTCCACTTCGCCGGAACTACAAACATCAAAACACCAACTTTCAACTCGAGAACGTTCCTCTGGTTCGAACGCGCGAACTCGCCGATTCACTCGTCCATTGCAACTGAGAAAGAAATTACGCGCCGCGAATTACGCCGACATAACAAACGACGTTTCAATTCTTTTTTCCCAACCACGATTTTACCGAAATATCTCTAGCCACGACCGGTAATGTTGGTACCGCGAATTCCATTCTTAGCGCAACACCAAGAATTATCGTTGATAACGTGGAAGTTCCGCAAAAAACATATGCTAAATGGCGCTTCGTTTTCACAATATTGCGCCTTACCCTAAAAGATAATGATCTCTTTTCATGTAATCATTCATTATTGTTTCGAACGATACAGTTTCGTTTCACGTATATGTGTAGGCACGCACGTACACGCGTGTATGCGCACGTACACGCAGTAGGCATAAACCACACGCACACACTTCCGATGTAAATAATAATTTACAAACTTGTGATTAAAATACGAACGGTAATACACGCTATATAAATATATAGCTGCGTAGATATTATAATTAATAATATTATTAAAGCACGTATCTTTTACTCCTTTTCTGGGTACTCCTTTATTTAAAAAATCGAATTATTCTACAAGCAATCCTATAACTTAAAACTTAAAACTACCGCTTTATTTTTAGCACGACTGATTCATAGGGATAAAACTTTTTATTTCTTATCAATTTAATCAAATTGTAAGAACGAGGAAATTTGTATATTTTATAATTTAGAATAAAGTATACGTAAATTGTAAAATAATTTAATCTTCTTTTTATGTATTTAACACGGCACAATATACAAAATATACTCGAAAATAGATCTCTCAAATGGAAAATGTATATAACACTTAATGCTTCCTCTTTTTCCGTTTCTTTTTTTTCCCTTCGCTTTTAGTGCTATTGCTCAATGGGTTTTCTTCATCCGCCTTTCGTTTAGTTTCTTTTGTACTTTCTTCTTGCACGGTGATCGAGGATTCTGCTGCATCTGCTAGAGGCACACTAAAGCCTGGAATCTGTTCGAAAATAATTTTATACGCGGTTATATCATAAAATGAAATTGCAAGAAAGTTGTCGTAATTGGAAGTTTCCACAGGAACATTTTCCGGTGCCTAATACTTACGAGTGGTTTGACAAGTTTAAATATTATTTTCTCGTGTTGCACGTTGGATCTGTCCAAACTTATTTGCACTATGACAGGATCAAACGTGCGAAATACAATATCACCGCAAGATTGCGAATGATCTTCGCTATTGTACGTGAACGATACGGGCGACGATGTTTTCTTATCGTTTAAATACAACGTTCCTTCCAAACCATATTTTGGAATCAATATTTGCAGTGCATTCTTCCGTACAAAAAGTATATATCCTTCTTCGTCTTGAATTTTCTCTCTGAAGAATAACTGAAAAGTAAAAAAAAACTACTATTAGCGGAACTGTGACCGAATTGTAAACATATAATATTGTAACGTAACAAATACGAACATGTGTGTTGAGTGCAACCGATGCACGATCAGCATACTGGGCCATTCTGTTCCGATAATTTAGATTTTGACAAATCTCGTGGTTTTTCTTCTTGTCCAATAAATCAGGATAAGTCGCATCGGCTCCTATGCAAACTGCCAGTAAACGATGAACCATCACATCGGCGTATCTACGCGGCAAAATAATAGGCAAAATTCAAATTATGTGAAACGTATACTATCCAAATTAATAAAGAAACAAATTCGTTCGGATAATCGGGGTTCCGATAAACAACGTTCTACCGTATAAGACTTACCTTCGAATAGGCGATGTGAAATGAGTATAAATAGGACAAGCTAGACCATAATGGAAGTATTCGCTTTGCTGGTGCATTCCACTAACGAAATATACAGCCTGCATCATGCAACGCGTGGCCAGTATTCTCAACATAGTGTTGAAATAAGGATTGCCCTCTTTGTGACACTTGTCTAAAGATTCTGCTAATTCTTTGCCGCTATTAACGTTTATAACGAAACCCTGTTAAAAAACTATTAATTATTATCAATGTACGCAAAACGGTTATTGTTCTACGAGTATCTTTTCAATACTTGATTCTTTCCAGCTTTTATAAGAGGCTCGAAATTAGCAGGCGGTGGTTCAGGATGCCTCCTTAACACCGCACATTCTGGAAATTCTTCCATGATCTTTTTAGCGACCGAGATGTTTGCTAACAACATAAATTCTTCGATCATAGAATTGGTGTCTTTTAATTGTTTCGCTTGTACGTCGATGGGGTCGTGCGTCTCGTTGTCAACTTGAAAACGGATTTCCGGAGACGCTAACACCAAGGCGCTACGATCGAAATAAATTTAATTACACATTTAACGTTTCCGGCGACGAAAATTTTACATACCCATTCTCCAGACGTTTCCTCTTCAATATTTTCGCTAAAGCATTAAGATTTCTTAATGACTTTGCAATCGAATCTTGCTGAGCGGGATCATCGATCTTCAGTTGAGCCTCGTCGTAAGTCATAGCCGCTCGAGAACAAATTACAGATTTACAATATCGTGTGTTAATTATATTCGCGTTCTTGTCCATTTCCCATATACAAGAGAACGTTAATCTTTCTTCGTGTCCTCTCAAGGAACAAAGATTCGAACTGAGCAATTCTGCAATCATTATATTCGATGTTATATGATAAAATTGCACATACATCGTGAATCGAAAAATTAGTATCCGTTTCATGGGTACTAAATAATTTTCACCTGGAAGCATTTGAATCCTCGTGTCAACCAAATATACAGTCGTAGCTCGTAAAGCCGCTTCTTTATCTAATGCTGTCCCGGGTCTAATGAAATGTGTCACGTCCGCGATATGTACACCTACTTCGAGATTCCCGTTTGGCAAATCTTTGCAATGAAGAGCATCGTCGATATCTGTACATCCTGGAGGATCGACTGAACATATATCTAAGTGTCTAAAATCCTCTCTACCCGCCAAATCCTGTATCAATTAAACGATTAAGTCATCGTAAATTTAATGGCTGTTTACTTGCTTTTTTATACATACAGTTTCTGTGATGGTCCATGGCATTTTCGGCAGTGAGCTAAGAACAGCGTCGGAGAATCGACTATGCGGAACATCATGCTCCAAAAGTATTACTTCGTTTTCAGTCGCTTTATCGCCTATTTCACCTAACGCGCGTACGAAATGACCTAAAGGATACCTAGAGTTACGGGGCCATGAATCGATGGCGACTATGATTCTTTGTTTACTCAATACCTTATATTGTCTGGTCTCGATTCTTATTTTAGGTATTTTTCGTTCGGTTGGGACAAACAAATGTCTTACATTCTAGTTGAAAAGAAAACAAGGTTATAAGACGCAGAATATATATAATATGTATAGGTCTACATTTAATCTAATTGTGGTAAATTTAAAAATCTTTACCCCTTCGATACTGTTAGGATTTAATATTCCACAATACTGCCTCCAACTTCTTCTAATAATACCAACAACCTTTCCAGTCTGTGTCTTTTGCATTTTGTTCGAAGAAACAAATTTGTCTAACACTTTCTCTGTTTCTAAAACATCATCCGCGTCTGCCTCTTCTTCATCTTGCAAAATAATGTCACTGGGAGATGACCACTGATCCTCTGGTAACAGTTCTATTGCGACTGTGTCACCATCAACTACTCTATTAAGGTTGCTTCGACCTTGAATTAAAATCTACAACAAAATATATATAATAATTGAAGACATATTTAGTCACGATGACGAGTAATGCGGAAGGTAAACAAGCACTAACGGATTTTTCCATTCCATCTGTATTCACGTATCCCTCTAAAAAGTTTTCTCTTGATGCTGCAAATTTTCCTTGGAAAAATTTTCCGTTTTTTATGCCATCGTGTACTTGAGATGGGGTAAGGTGACAAGGAAAATATTCCTTGCCATCGTTTCCTGTACCATAACTTCGTTTACACAATTTATCCATTAAAAAGCCTGAATTTTCCAGCGACATAACATAATCCTCCACTGGAAAACAACAATTGTATATATTAAAATAAAAACTATAAATTTATTTGAGGCTATGAATCAAACAAAAATGAAATTTACTCGAAATAACGGGTATCCCTTCTTGTAATGCCAGTTCTTTGTTCCGTGCATCATCTGTTAATAGGACAGTTGTAATATTACAACCGCTAGAAGTAAAATGCGTGTTGTACCATTTTGTCGCGACTCGAATCGCTCTGTCATTTCGATCGTTCATACTTTCACCAGAATTACGTTCAATGTAAGTATCTCTACATAAAAATAATGAAATATATTACCAAAATACAAAATACAAAATATAAATAGTATTCTGTTAATAAATAACATACTTGTGATGTTCATTAACAAATACATAAAATTTTCTACGTGTGGTATTAATTATCTCTTTCAACTTTTTATACACATTAGAACTTCTGTGTTTTACTTCTTCTAACACTGTTTGTAAGATTATTACATTGGAAATAATATCCTCTTCCAAAATATCAATCTAAAATTACAACATTTCCATGAATTACTAAATTATTGATCAATTAACGGTGAAAATTTGGAGCCAGTCATACTCACTTGATCTAAAACAATGTTAGTATCCAACAGAAGATAATAAGGGTGTGATAATTTTGAGCTTTTGGCACTTGTGTCTTCGTCGTCCAATATAATATTTCGATTTCTGTACAGACATTTATCACAAGCTTTAGAACCGCAGTTAATGTCATCTCGGAGATAGTGTTCTCGGACAGTCTAAATAAACAAAAGGTAAATAAATTTCAGATACTTCTATTTACAGCAATAGCAAGTAATTATTCGTAATGCGTTCGATCTCTTATAAACAATATTATAAGAAAAACTATATTTGCATCGGTTTCACACGTAAGTTAAGCATCGATCGAAGGATGTCACATCTTATTTACGATACCTTAAACACATTCCCTCCTTTGGTTTTTCTAAAGAAAACCTTCGTTGTTAACATTTTGCTTATTCTTATTACATAGACGGATATTCAAATAATAACATGTACACTTTTTCGTGTACGTAAACCGAAAGGTAATTATATTGTCTCTTAAATTCGAACATGTATAAACATATATCAACGAGCGTCACTACACGTGGATTTGGGCCACCATTATTATATGGTACACCATGGTGGCCAACTGTAAAAAACGCAAATAGGTATATTAGAAATTGAGTACAAAATCACTTGTATTATTTGTCCCGGTATTAATAAATTATTTTAAAAGTCAACAGTAGAAATAAGAAATTATAAAAGAATGATTTGCTATAATTTTACAACATATATATATATATTATGTAATATATAAATTAGAATAAATAACAATAAAAAATTACGCATACATGATTGCATTTCTTTATTATGGACAGTATAATTATATTAATTATTAATAAGTAAATATTTATTTAAGAATACAAAAAGTATCATATATACATATATTATTGTGTTAGTGACAATTTCTTTAAGTTTTAGACTTTCACCACATTTTCATAATCATAATATAGTTAACATGTTTATAAGTATTGCATGATTAGAATAATATATACTTATATAAAACAGGACTCATGGAGAGTAGAATTAAGGGTATATTTACATTTAAATTATTAATCAGAAACGATCGCGAAAAATCAGGAATTATTATGAAAAATCACCGTGATTGGGAACAAATGCGATAGAATCACGAGTAATTCACAAGTAGCTATCTCTAGTATACATATATGTAGTTCCATAATTCAGTGACACGCTGCCATAAAATGCTATAGTATGTAGGTATTTTATGCATATGTAGCTATGCACAAATATAGGTTATCCTATAATATATACATGTGTCGCATCTTTAGAGTAATGTAGAGACCAGTGTGGGCAGATCGGTCATAATTGAGTGCATCGAAATCAACAATAGTGACGACAAACTTTCTTAGCGTCTAACGGAGTGGTGGGGATAACAGGCATATATGTATTACCGCACGAGCCACGTGTACGTGAGCTCGACACTTCGCACTATTTCGGGAAAACGAATAAAGAACGCTAGTGTGAGCCTTTCCTTCTTGCTCTTGTAAAAGAGAAACAGCTGAAATGCGACCTCGCGATAATCGGCATATGATTCCAAGTCTCGACTGCCCCAGCATTTTTACTTTCTGACCTATGTAAGATATAAGGAAAGTTCCATAACAAAAAAAAATTTTTTTAAACGTTTTATATAAATCTTAAGAAGGATTAAGATCAAATAAACTTTATCTCTATTTTTTCTATCTGCTGTTACAGCAATAACTCATGCAGGTTGACGACAGTGTTTTGTATATACCGCGGTTCGCTAGGTCGTAGAAACGACAAGGACGTCCGGGTCACGTCCCTAATTACGAATAGTTAGTTACTAGATAGTAAGTAACTAGATTGCGGAAACCGCTCGCAACATAATAAAATATTATAACCATTATGTTCATTCACTAATAATTATTGTATTGAATCACTAAGTATAAATGTAAAGTTTCATTGAAACTCATTCAGCCGTTTAAACGCAATCATGTTAATAGCATACGTATGTACGTGCGTAAATAGGTACAGAAAAAAAAATTTCTTTTTTTTTAATAATCACAATATGATCAGGGGGTTTTAAAACGTGTATTTCATCATATCAAGAAAGAAAGGCTTGCACTAGCGTTCTTTATCGATTTCCCGAAGTCGTGCAAAGTGCCGAGTTCACGTACACGTAGCTCGTGCGGTAGTTTATTATATGCCTGCTATTCCCACCACACCGTTAGGCGCTAAGGAAGTTCGTCGTCACTATTGTCGACATCGATACACTCAATTATGCCAGTTTTGGCCATACTGCGTCGCAGACTGTATTTACGCAAATATTTTGCCTGTTAATCATCACGAATCGATACCTGCAAGAATGTCGGGAAAATTACGAAAAACTAGTCTCCAGTGGGATAGTTCGTCAGAAGAGGATGACGCGTATGAATGCAAATATAATATGAGGTTGAGAGATTCGCTGAGAAACACTCAACAGTCTCAGGTGTCTGAAAGTGAGACTGCCTCAGAACCACGAAAGCGAGGCAGAGGACCTTCTAAGAGGCCTTGCTTAAACAGAAATGCTTTGATGGCTCGAGAAAATAGATTGAAGAAGAAAGCGTACCTCGAAAAGGTAGAAAGCAAGTTATCTTATTATCAACAAGAAAATAAGAAATTGGTCAACTTCATAAGGAAACAGGGTGTTGATATTAAACGGTTGACTGGTGAAGTTGCGTATCTTAGGAGCGTCTTGAACAACAATACTACCATTACTGCATTACTTAAAACTATCAATAATGGCTTTCGTAAAATCAGTACACAAAAAACAAATTCATTCTATCCACATGTTTCTCAGTGCCCACCCAAGTCTGAAATTGAACAGAAATGTAAATGTAACATGATTGCGAAAGAAAATATATTAAATAACCAGAATGGTAACACTTTTGCTACCAGCATTAATTGTGATTCATTGAACGAGCATATTATATTGGAAAGTCAAAGCAGTGAACCATGCACAAATACCAAGAATCAAATTATTTGTAAGGATTTTGATATTGATAACATTTTTTTACTATCCCCAGATTTTGATCATACTTATGCTATTTCAAAAATTTCTATAGCTAATATCAAGGATAACCTAAAAAAAAAGGAAACTGTAAATACAATAACTTCTATTACAAGCCCATTATCAGAAGACAGTTACATGAATGGTACAAAAGAGTTGGATGGTTTACTGCCATTTACCCAAACAGATCTATCCAATATAAAAAAGAATACAGATGCCATTGGTATTGACTTTGATCAATTGTCGTCGTTCAATATGGATATATTTGAAGACCTTCCTAAATGCGAAGAGATGATGGACACAGTGGAAAATTTAAATGATACATCGAATCTTTTCACAGAAGAAGAAATCTCTCAGAGTCTAGATAACACTGGAATTTGCCTTCATGTTAATTCTGACAAAGTATCTTTAGAATTTTGTTCCATTTGTCACATGAATAGTAAAAATTTGGTATCAAATTAAAGGGGGAATCGATCGTGATTGACGTAAGCTCATTAGATAATGAGTCACCCATGGAAGAGGCCAATCCAGCTATTCTGGAAATGTTTCTCAATCAGTGGAGTATAGATAAATAATGAGAACAATGTACTTATTTCAGTTCCTTTTCATAGATATTTTGTGAAATATGAAAAATTGTTTTAGTGATTGGTAGTTGATGTTCTGCATATTTTCAGGTATATCAAGAAGATATATGATAACATCTAGGTGTACCTGTTGTGAAAATGTTATAAAACTATCTTCCTTGTGGAGCGAAAGTTGCGTTACATTAGTATTCATACTATATATAGATTTATATGCATACACACGCACACACACATATATATTTATCTATATACACATGTATCCACATATACATATATGTGTGTGTGCATGCACGCGTGTATATACATACATATATATATATAAATTTTATAAATGACAGACTTATGTGGGTAAAATTTCTAAAGATTACAATTGTTAATTGGTAATGGCATAAAGTATTTTATCACAGGCAATATCATTAATAATTTTCAGTAATAGCATTCAACAATAAGAATCCTTGTTTTAGGACATATTTTTTTATGTTTAGTTGTAATAACTAGAACATGGAAAACTATTGATTATCCGTATGTAATATAAAATTACATTGCTTCTTTTCCTCCGAGACTGTAATACTTTGCTTTTTGCAGGATAACACTGTCTTGGCACTGAAGTTTCCTAGCAGGGATCATACAAAAAGGTGGGGAATATAACTTTGATTAATTATCGTATATGTATACTGTATTCGATTAAATTTGTAACAAATACAATTTTTCTATTTCCTCTAGTCATGGTCTGGCATTCCTGATGCGCTTTGGTTAATAGCGTAATGTATTATTTTGGAACTGTTACAGTTAGTTCTTGTTGGGAAAATATGTGGAATTACGGTCGCTCCTCTTCTTTTATATACTCAATATATATAATAATATATATTGTGAAAAGGTTGAGTATAAATATATCGATATTTCTATGCGAAAGAATGTAGAGATGATATTTTGTAACTGCTACTGTGAATATCTTTTTTAAATAATTTCAATTTCAGCTACATCCCACGGATATTATTGCCAATGCGGAACATTGCATCCACTGATCGAGTTTTGTGGTAATTGAGATTAAAATCAGAATAAAGTAGTATATGTAATATTTTTTCATCGAACACTAGTCAAAAGCGCTCTTGCAATGCCAGAGTTTTTATTTCATTCAGTTGTGTAGAAATTTTTCATTATCGAAAATTGTTCAAACGTTGTACAATATTTATACAGTATCTGGGGGAAAAGAAGTGTATTCATTTCATCATAATGTTACGATATTTTCTCGTTTTAATATGTACACTATTTTTATATATTTTTATTACAAATAAATTGTTTTTTTATGTAATGAAACAGACGAACATAAAGTTATATGTCAGATATGATTATGTTTCTTATATTGTAACTAAGGTCATTTTGTACAAATATAGAATTATTTTATGCAGACTGGTTAAAGTCTTAAGTTATTTTATATAATAATTTCTTACTTATTAGTAATAAATAATGTACCGATGCGAACTTCTTGTATCATTTAAAGATGAAATACATATGTATAGATATTTTCTTAAAAGAATATATTAAAGATTTTATTGCTCCTATATGAAGAAAATGTGGAAAAATGTATCTTTTATATACTCTTTTAAAAATAAAAAATCAATTTAATTTGAGCTTTAATTATAAAATTACATATTAAGGTATTTCTGAAAATTAAAATAAATATCTACATAATTTACAATAAAATATAAATAAGACTGAAGAATTTCTAAACGTAATGTTACTTTTTAATTAACGCAATTTTAATGATCATTACTTTCTGTAATTTTACAGATTATTCAGTAGGAAACTATTTAACTTTGTACAAAGAAGTCTTGATCACAAACATACTTATTACTTTTCTAACAGAGGCTCATGATATAAAGATTCACTCAAATTCCAAGGCGACTAAAAACATCTGGTTTCTTTATAGGTGTTACCATTGTAACTCTATTAAAAGTTACTTGTTTAGCACTATTTGTTTTTACTATTCCCAAACGTGCTTTTGCTGGTATAGAAGTCAATCGTTCTGAAGCTGAAGAAAACAATAAGTGAAAAATTGAAAGAAAACAGAAAATTGGCATGTAATTTATTATTAAATTAAACAATGTACCTAATTTTCCTGATGTGACACTAGGTTTTGTTATTCTAGCATTGCTTGAAGGAGTATTGAAGGAAATCTTTTTAGTTTTTACTATTTGTGTAACATTACTTGACATAATTTTTCTACTTGCTTCTTGATCTGCCCGCATTGTGCCCACACTTTTTGGTATTACTTTGTTTGTTGTAATGATCGACGTTCTTGTAGTAGGACTTGTAGTCTTTAATATGCCTGTATTACTTGATCCATTTTTCAATATACCTACTTGTACAATACTATCTTTCTTGGCATCTTTATCTCCAAGCCGATTGAAAACGCTTACGGATCTTTTAAAAACATCTTTTCCTAGTCCAGTAATATTAAAAGTAGGTGATGTTTCAGCTAAATTTGTTGTACTAGTTACAGAACTGTCACCTAGCCTATCAAACACAGTTCGTTTCTGTTCCGCGGATTTTTTAAGGATCTGTTGACTTCTAGATGTTGATCCTTTTGGAAGTATTACCATGTAGCCCACTTTGTCGTTTGTATTGTCTAATGATTTTATTTTTTTAACCGTTCCATTCCACTTGTCTTCGTTATTACTATCAGACTCATCTTCATCTTCCAATTTTCTTTTAAGAATGGCATGTTTCTTTTGATTAGCAAGGTCTGCAATTACTTCGCTAGATGTTGATATTGGTTTCTTAACAGCAACAGCTTTCTTCACAGAACTTGCTGGGACTTTGACAATCTTTTTTGTAATTACTGTATCAGGTTTAATCTTTGAGGCTACCGTTTTAGGAGGTGTTTTAGTTATTAGTTTTTTAACTTCTGGTTTAGGCGATCCAAAAGAATCTTCTGTATCGACAAGGAATCTTTCACACGTTGTATCTTCAACTACTTTTTTTGCGTACCTTAAAATAGCGATCATATCTCCCATTAGAGTTATTCCCATTTCTTTAAGACTAGGCTTATCTAAATCTGGCAACATGTCTGGCTTGATACGGTTATTAGAAAATACAACAGCATGTTTAGTAGCTACATCTTGAGGGAATCCAGCACCTTTAAAAAATTTCACCCAATATGCTGCAAGAAAAGAGAAAAGACTGAAATAGAAGACAATGTTGGTACAAAATCAAAAGATTGATTGAAGAAAACTTTGTCTACCTGATAACGACGATGCCATTTTACCGGTTAGGTTATTTGTATTATTATACTTGGTAACACCACACGACTGATTTTTCTTTGATAAATATCAATTCTTCGAAGAAAATTTAACAATACCTACTGTTTTACACATTTCACACAGCTTATTGTACCTTACACTTATTGCTTACAGATTATTGTACCTTGCACTTGAAGAAATTATTTTTGAGAGTGGATACGCGATGTAGTTTTAAGTACATCAATTTTGAGAAATATTTCACTTCGCCTCTCAGAAAAATATCACAGAATATAATTAAAAAATGATAATAAACATTGGCATTGCATCCCTTATGATTTCAGATCTATTCATGTCCATTCCCATATATATCTATATGTATACAAACGTAAATACATAAGTGAAATTAGAATGATCAGACGAAACTATACAAAATGATCATATATAGCGACATCATAGGCAAACATGTGTACTAATGTATCATTAACACTTTTTTATAGTAGTTTTTTACTTGCAAGTAAATTAAGAAGTGCTTTCAAATTTTAATATTTTCATAAACAGTGAAAAAATAGTTTCTTGTTTTATATTGCGATCATGACAAAAATACGACTGAAACGACAATAATACTCACGATTTATAAAACAATGTTTATTCGTTACAGTCGATCGTATAAAACGAACCAATTAAGTTTCATTTAGCTCCTATATTTAAAAATTAATTGTTACAAAATGTCATGCATATTAAATGTATCGTATTATTAAGAAAATGTGTTATCGGTAAAATTTCAGATTCTACAAAATTCATTTCGTATATAATAGATGCATGTTTGGCTAGTTAAATAATGTATTACATTGTGATAAAATTTATTACTATAAAAATGATTCTTGTATCGTAATACCCTCGTCTTGAATCAAGGATAAAGATACATTTTTTATTTATTGGAAATGAAGAAAATCGTAATTTCCATTTAATCGATTGTTGCCGCTCTAGGTAGAAAATGTTCATGGCTGAATGTCCGTGAAGCCTTAGAGGAATGGAGTTATCCTCGTTGTTTTGGGAATTTCGCGCGGATTACCGTACTATTTTTATCGTGTGTGGGTGAATCAGGTGTCTTAGTCGCGTTCGATACTATTTTCGATATCTTCGTATTCTTCGAGCTGCCTACTGGGCGGGATTCGCGCGCTAAAAAGAAGAACGGAGGTTAGTTTCGGCAGATGTGCTTGGGTATGTATAGTGATGGGCTGTTCGAATCTTACCTTTGCAATGGTTCGAAGTTTTTAAGTCTATGACGATTCGAATCGTTTCGAGGATGATTCGAAGCTTAGAACTCTTGAAATCTCTTAATAAGTCTTAAATGTCTCGAATGTTTTGAGTCTGTAAGGTTTCGATAGATTTGGGAGAGTTAAGAATTTCAACAATCGGTTCAATCATAGCGAGTAAAAGTAAAATCTTTCAAAATATTTATATATTTCTCAGTAATAGGACATTTCGAAATTGAGGTAGTTCAAAATTATAATACATTGCTGCTAGTCTGTTGCAATGTTTATTACTTGTAAATTATGTTTGTGTACAAACATACAATAACTTTTTTTCAACAAACAAAAACACAGTTTAAAAAAGTGTATCAAATTCTATTTTCATGCCTAAGAAAATTGTAGTAGAATGTGGTTTAAAAGTGTCAGTAAAGACAATAAAAAGAGTGATTCAGCGGATGAAACATCTCTACAGAAGAAAATTTGCTATTAAATCTCCTTTAACTGCAGTGTACAAACAATCATCAAAAGAAAAAGTGATGGAAAATACTTATTATGAATGAAAAAGTAATGAACTTCGATGGGTCTGATAAATGAAAGTACTACTTCCATGATCTTTGAAAAGAAGAGAAAATTTTAAGTTGTCGTTAGAGAGATTGAGGTTTTGTAATGTTATAGGCAAATGTTGTATACAATAGTAGAGCAGAAATCAAATTTGCCAAATTCAAAACCATGGTAATAGAATAGTCGAAGTACCGAAGGTGTCTTATAATTTTGTCCACCGGTATTTTAGATACTGTTTAATAGTTTGTTCGAGCTAGTTCCGATTGATCCACCGCGTTCGCGTGTTGTTTACATCGTGGATAGCGGTAGTATTGTTCTTTAAGGGCAACCTAGCGTATTGTTAATCGTAACAGAGTTGAATTTCCGATTTACGCCACCCTGGCCCATACATATTCGGAATACTTGACCGGATCGTCAGCAGTTTGCGAGGGTTGGACACGGAAGCTGTTGCATGGGAACGAGATCTTTCGGAGGGTGACTGGGTGTCGGGTGAGCGGTGCGGGGCAGAATGGCAGAGAGAGAGCGTGGGAGGGGAGGCTCGTGCGCCGGCGAGCAAATCGTGTGTCAGACTCGTGGCAGAGGGGTCAGCGCGAGAGAAAGAACGACACGAACCGAACGTTTTCTGGGCTTAGCGGGTACGTTTTCACATTACAAAACGTACACCTCTTTTCTCTGCTCTCGCAATACCTCTACATTTCTCGTTCTTTTTCTTCTCGAATATTCTCCGTATCTCTCGGTCACCCTTTTCCCTCCTTTCTTTTTGCATTCGCGAATTATCGTTTCTTTATCGACGGTATGTTAGATATCGTTATGTTTCTGGTTGTCGCGGGGCGAGTGTAGGAAAAACATTGCTTAGCGCGATTCGAGATCGCCGTTCTCAGAGAGCATAACTGAGAGTGTCTGTAATCCGAGTGACACGGAAATCCGTTTTGCGTTTAAAGGAACGTAAGAAATCCGCGGAAGGATGAACGACATGGAAGCTTATGGGGACGGATACATGGAGCCGGAGGAAGAGTGGGAGAGGGATGGTCTTTTGGATCCAGCCTGGGAGAAACAGCAGAAAAAGGTGAGTCTTGATCTCTTTGATAATTCTATTCCTTTTTCGAACATTTCTACGTGGTTGTCGCGTTTTTTTTTTTCGTCTCGGCGAGAACTCTCGATTCGATTGTTGCACCGTTGCAACATTACATTCCCGATCTAACTAACCGGCTGCCGTTCCAATTTGCGATACATGCTTTTGATAACTGTGATTCTTCGTTCCGAATTCCTCGAAACACTTTCAAGTCGTTTTTCGTCGCGGTCCGTGATTCACGGAGTGTGTCTATCGATTCGGTTTTTCGAGCGCTATACATAACCTCACCGTGCACGGTGCAATTTTGGAATTATTCGGCCGCGAAAAGAACAATGAAACTTGCACGGAGCATGCTGTAATGATTTATACGATCGAGAACCCGGTGACTGCGCGTGAAATATAAAATTGTTGCATGTAAGTGTTTTGGAGGAAATAAATTTCGAAAATAATATACGCAAAATACACGTGCACATTTAACCAAAGTCCGCGTTCCTATATAAAATATAAAACAAAGTAATTTATAGTAAAAAATTCGAGTCTCTGTTTGACAGTATATTTCTCAACTTGATATTTTTTATGGAAACGGAAATTATTACATTTACGATTTATTTTTTTTACGTGAATCGATTGTATTGTTTATTCGAAAAGACTTTGTTCAATGTTACATGATAGCAAAAGCACGATCGTTGTTTCGATCTGTCTTTCTAACCGACATTGCATCGTCGAGTCTTGTCTAATTTTACTTGACAGTTAAACCAATATTTTTGTTGGACCTCCTAAAATCGCCTTACAGAATATTGAAACGAAATTAGCAATTAAACAGTAACAGATGTTCGATTTATAACGGACGGTCCGATCCGTGCTCCACGTTCGGATAATTACGCGAGAGAGAATTATCCGGACAAGATACAAGGGAGGCAGGATTAATGCGGTGTCAATTGATAAAGTGGAGCAGCTTCAAGTACGCGTTGAAAACGTTTTCTTCATTTTTGGCAGGGGCTCAAGGCTCTCTCAGGTCCGAGTTGGTTTACGTATGTCGGCGGTCGGGAGCCCTTCGGATTGTATTTTCAGACTTTATGACAAAAATAATCGAGCACTGAGTCATTCCAGAGTAACGTGACTCCGTCGATGCTTTGTCGGACCTCGTGAAATTGATTACGACCGCAACGCGTAGAAAATCTCTTCGCTTTAATCGAGCGCGATAATATGTAGGTATTTCACGTATCGTTCGTCCCTTGTACTTGGAGGATGTACATAGGGTAACTCGCGTAATTGGGAAAAGCTGTATCTTTAAGATGGTTAGAGATACGAAAAAATATTATACTAAAAAAATGGTGCACATTTAATAAACAAAATAGACATATCTACTATTTCATTACTCGTAAATGCCATGGCGATGCACAGAGTTATCAACGAGAAAGTTAATCTTACGCTGATCGATATTAGATGTAGACTCGTGTTTACAAACATTCTGATGCGTAATAGTACAGGAGAATGTCTCGACAGAAATGAATAGAGATACATTGAATTAATTTAGTAAATTTTTAAATGATATAATCTTTGGGTTTAGAACATTACGTGATAGTTTTTATTGTAGAAATTAAAAAACTGCATCGAATAGTACGATCAGAATGATGTAGTTCCGTTTAAAAAAAGGATGCAGTTGCATTTTTTGATTTGCACATTTTGCTTCTCTAACCATTTTAGAGATGTAGTTTCTCCTAGTTGCATGGGACACCCTGTATTTTCGCGAAGATCTTTCGGAGATTCTTCTTCGTCTGCTTCGGTCTTACGAGGCCTCCTTGCTAGAAATATCCAACGTAAATCAGAACTCGGAATTATATTCGACAATTGGCTCGATAAACCAGACACGAGAATAGGATCACTGTGAATCGACACCGTTCTCACGAAAGTATCGGCACCGAATCTTTTCTAACCTCTCCTCAGTCCTGATGGTGGATGGAGAATCGGAGAGCGCATGTGTCGACGTTGAATTTATCGATACTTTCCCCGAATCGAAACACAATAAATCACGCACGTGTATTCGTTTAATGCTCGTTGATAAGTTTTATTTGTAAGACCTTACATTTGTAAAAACAATGTAAGGGAGAGTTATGATAATCCTATCACTTACGGAGGTAGTCTAGTAATTTTAGATAAAAAAAGCTTGGCATATAATAATAACACCGTTCGAAAAGGGACCAAGCTCGATATATGTTAATAATTATTAAATAATTATTTATATTCATAAGTCGCGATTAGGAACATAATAGATTTTATGTTTTTTTTTTTTTATACCCTTTTACAACTTTTATGAAGCACGATATACATTTTATGCTGTCGATCATATTTTCTATACGTGTCACATAACATATACGATAAGTTAAACGCGTGGTAGCGAATATGCTAATCGTGAGTTCATAAATCGTACGATTACGTTTTAAGGAACCTTGAAATGATAGGATTTGGAAAGTACGATAATTTCTACAAAAATATTGACTTGATTTTTATAATAAAGTATTCTATAATGAAAACTCCATTGTTACATTTTTTATTAACTGCATAAATATATTAAAAAATTACATCGATTGTACCTGATTTTTAAAAATGTTTATAGCACGTACAAAACAAAATGTCATTTGTCTATCTTTTGTCTATATTTTTCATTACTCAATTTTTTTATATATTCGTCATTAAATGGTACTTATATTCAGTCATAACAAAGGAATTGAAGAGGTAGGATTTAAGTGAGCGACAGGCATTAGGCAACTCTCCCCTATAGCGATTCATTTGTAACGTTTATTGGTTTGAACAGTTACTGTGACAAGTTTTTGTTCGTTGAACCATGATATACAGGGTGTTTCAGATTGAAATAGTCAGACTCGAGTTATGAATGTAGGACCATAAAACAAACAAATGTAATAATGTGACATATAATTTGAATAATATGGAATTACTGTTTTGTAGCATTTTTAATGACAGTGACGTTATTAAACCGTTTAAGTGCCAAGGATAATTTCGATAACTGCTATTGAAACTCTTAACACTTTCGAATTTATCAAGACACAAGATATTTTAGTAATTCTTTTTTATCGAATATGGTATTTAATAGTAATTTTCATTGGCCAATTGAAAACTAATCAAAATAAGAATTTCGTATCTGATTTCTTTTATTATTTAATAATTTCTTTTTATCGAATATGGTATTCAAAATTGCTGAAGACTTATCAAGACTTTCAATTCTCGTGACTTTCAAGGGTTTTAAACTTTTAGTCATATTCGAATTTTTCGTTATGTATGAATGGTGTTCAGCCAACCCTGGGAAAAATTTTAATGGGGGATTCTAGAGGCCGAAATAAGACAAAAATCAAGAATACCAATTTGTTGATGGAGGCTTCGTTAAAAAGTTATTAACAATTAAATCCAAAAATTTCAAATCGTTCTGGAAAAATTATTTTCGGTTGCGGGGGCCAATTACAATCATTTGTGGTGAATAGACATACCCCCGAAATCCTACTCACTTTTTAGAAAAAAATTCGAGAATGTGTGAAATTTTTCGACGGAAAAAAATATTTCAAATCGTTTTGGAAAAATTATTTTCGGTTGCAGGGGTCAATTGCAATCATTTGTGGTGAATAGACATACCCCCGAAGTCCTACTCATTTTTTAGAAAAAAATTCGAGAAGGTGTGAAATTTTTCGACGGAAAAAAATATTTCAAATCGTTTTGGAAAAATTATCTCCGATTGGGGGGTTCAATTACCATCATTTTTGGTCATTACACATACCCCCGAAATCTTGCGCATCTTGGAGAAAAAAAATCAGTACTGGCGGAACTTTAAACGTTAATAACTTTTTAACGAAGCCTCCATCAACAAATTGGTATTCTTGATTTTCGTCTTATTTTGGCCTCTAGAATCTCTCATTAAAATTTTTCCGAGGGGTAGCGGAACACCCTGTATCAATTCGAACCAATTCGAAGCGGTTGAAATCCTATCACTAGCTACATATTACGATGCGCGCGATTGGATATGGGTGGGAGTAGGGGGGGGGGCGATAGGCGCCGCGACAGAGCGAAAGAGTAAATGCCACATTACATTACGACTATCTCCGTAACCGTTCACCCGTAGTACCGACGCACTGTAACACTATTTTTCACTCGATGTTCGAATCCTACTTCTGATCCACGAATCTGTTCGAAGGACCCGAAGATAACGATCGTGTCGTTCGGGGTTTCTACGAACGATTTTTCGGTGCAACGAACGGTTCACGAGTAATTTGAGGTCGTCGAGTTAGGTGAATCAGCCTGTATATGGGAAACGAAACAGCCGACTAGTTCGTACGGGACGGTTAACTGTACAATTTCTCGTAAAATCTCGGCCGCTTGAACGGCTCGAAAGCCGCGTATGAAACGTTCCGGGGAACGCGGCATTTTTCTCTCTTCCTCTCAAATGGGTCACGTTGCTCGATGATCCGCGGAGAGAAGCTTTGGTCACAGAATCGGGCACATTTTTATCTACGATCGGTCACGAGGGTATTGGGACATCGGTGTAGTTCTGACATTATCCTGTATACAGGTTTTCTAGAATAAAATTAATATTTTCATGTGTATAATTTCCTTTAAAAAATTCTCCGTGTAAACATTTTTATTCGTAGTACCGAAGGAGCCTTTACCATTGAATCGAAATGTATTCAAATGTACCAGGGTCGTTCAATAAGTCCTTTGAAAATGCAAGACCTGGCGCTCGTAGCATCGAAAATGGTTTGCTTTTAGTAAGCATCGTGACTCACTAGACAACTGTCAAAGTTTCAGTTATATCCACCACATGGTTTCATTTTTATTGTCGATCGAAGCAAGGAACTTCCTCTTGCATCAAGACAATGCACGGGTGCACACCTGTGCAGTCTCGATGGCCAAAATCGTGGCATCAAAGTTCGAATTATTACAACATCCACCGTATTCACTGGATTTAGTCACCAGTGACTCTTTTTATT